GAAGTCGGATATCCAGAAGTTAAAGGGGCTTCTCAGTGCTGAGTTTGAGATGAAGGATTTGGGAGCTGCTCAGAAGATCTTGGGTATGGAGATTTATAGGGACAGGTCGAAGAAGAAGCTTTTCTTGTCACAGAAGAGATACATCCAGAAGATACTGTCGAGGTTTGGCATGTCTTCAGCAAAGCCCTTAAATACTCCTAGTGCCTCAAATATTCATCTATCATCAGCTTATGCACCGCAGTAAGAGGCTAAGAAGGAGTACATGTCGAGAGTCTCATATGCTAGTGCAGTAGGTAGCTTGATGTACGCTATGGTAGCACTAGACTTGATCTTGCACATGTTGTTAGTGTTGTCAGCATGTTCATGATACAACATGGGAAGGAGCATTGGCAGGCTGTGAAGAGGATCTTCCGGTACCTTAAGGGTACACCTGATGTGGGGATTAGCTTCGGAAGTGATACAAAGTGCTTGGTGTCTGGGTATTCTGACTCGGACTATGCTGGAGATGTTGACACGAGGAGATCGATGACCGGGTATATATTCACTCTTGGGAGTTCTGTAATAAGTTGGAAGGAAACTTTGCAGTCGGCGGTGACATTGTCTATTACTGAGGCAGAATATATGGCGTTGACAGAAGCTGCTAAGGAGGGAATATGGTTGAAGGGACTGGTTGGTGATCTGGGTCTACATCATGATCAGGCAGTGGTGTATTGCGACAGTTTGAGTGCAATATGATTGGTCAAGAATCAAGTCCACCATGAGAGGACTAAGCACATTGACGTGAGGTATCATTTCTTGAGGTCAGAGAAGAGGATGAAGGTGATGAAGGTTGGCACCACGGATAATCCTGCTGATATGTTCACAAAGCCGGTTCCACATGGCAGGTTCCAACACTGCTTGGACTTGCTGAATGTCTTGAGTGGGTGACTCCGCCCTACGGGGCATTGATGGCGGGAGAGAGAGAGAGAAGGAGCAGAGTACATCAGATATTTTAGAGGAAGAGGATTCAAGTCAAGGTGGAGATTTGTTGATGTGACTTGAATCGGACTATCAGCCGCTACGACTGGAATAGTCGGGGGCCCGCGGTGTATGGGCTCAATGTTATTTGGGTTCGGGTTCTGGGCCTGGTCTATAACCGTTTTATTTGCCAAATTGGATTAGGTTTAGACCCACATGGACAAGTATAAATACTTCTCATCTCCTCTGTAATCTGTAATCTACTCGATATAGTGAAAGTGGCTCTGTCTCGCCCGTGGACTAGCTAACACACATCGTGTTAGTGAACCACGTAAATCGTGTGTCATGCTTTCGATTCTCGCTTTTGTATTCTTTCTTTCTCGATTCCAGAGATTTCTTGATCTGTAGCAGCGAGTTTATAACAGGTAGAGTCATGTAAACTTCCTCCTGGAGATCTCCATGGAGGAAAGCATTATTCACATCAAGCTGGTGAATATGCCAATTACGTAGAGCAGCAACAACAAGGAAGGTTCTGACAGTAGTCATCTTAACCACAAGGGCAAAAGTATCTTGATAATCCACTCCCTCTTGTTGTGTATTCCCTTTGGCCACAAGGAGAGCTCTCAATCTGTCTAGACTCCCGTCTGATTCAAATTTAGTGTTGTAGACCCATTTGCTGCCAATAGGTTTCTTACCACGAGGTAATTTCACAACATCCGAAGTGTCTATAAGAGGGGAATGCCTGTCATAAGAGACAAGGGAGGATAGATCAAACCTTTTGTCTCGAATCTGAGGAAAAATTGATGGAGTGGTAGTGCTAGATTGCTTGGCCATGTAACAGTGCTAATCCTTGACAAAACGAGTGGGTGGTTTAATGACTCTATCAGATCTTCTGACTTGTAAAGGATTGGGTTGTTGGGATGATGCAGAAGGAATGGAACGAGTAGGGTTTGATGAAATAAGTGAAGGAACATGAGAAGAAGAGGGAGGAGCAGGTGGAGGTTGGACTGAGGGTGGAATGATAGGATTAAGAGGGACTCGAGGAGAGTGAAAATGGTCCGAATCATCAGGAAAGTGAGGAGGAAAGGTGGATGGAATAGGAAACAAGAAGTGAGAATCATCTGAATCTGTAGGAGAAGAAGTATTAGAATCTGTGGAATGGAAAGGAAATTCTGATTCATAGAAATGAACATCTCTTGAAATGACGATGTCATGAGAAGAAAGATCATAGATTCTGTAACCCTTTATACCAGAGGATAGCCCAAGAACACTCCTTTCCTAGCTCGAGGTTGAAATTTGGTTATGTGACTGTCTAGGGTGTTAGCATAACACAGACTACCAAAAACCTTTAGATCAGTGAGGTCTGGAGGTGTTTTATGGAGAGTTTCATAGGGGGGTTTGTTTTGAAGGACTGAAGAAGGGACTCTGTTGATTAGAAACACATCGTGTTTGATGCAATCACCCCAAAAACTTGTTGGAAGGTTAGCCTGAAACTTTAAGGCTCTAGCTACTGCGAAAATATGTTGGTGTTTCCTTTCAACTTTGCTATTCTGTTGAGGGGTTTCAACATAGGACATCTCATGAACAATGCCTGTAGATTGAAAGAATTCTTCCATAAGGAATTCCTTTCCTTGGTCACTCCTTATCCTTTTAATAGCAGAATGAAATTGCCTCTGCATTTGATTACAGAAAGCAATCACTTTGAATCTAGCATCATATTTAAGTGGAAGCAAAATAATCCAAGTCATTCGAGAGAAATCATCCACTATAGTTAAAAAATTTCTAAATCCATCATAGGTAGGAACTGGGTTGGGATCCCAAATGTCAACATGAAGGAGTTCAAAAGCATATTGAGTTACAGATTGACTCAAAGGAAAAGGAAGTCTCCATTTCTTAGCAAAGTGACAAACATCACAGGGTAGGTATTTCTGAGTGTGTATGGAGGTACAAAATTGGGTGAGGTGTGGAATTTTAGAATGGGAAACATGTCCTAGACGAAAATGCCACAGATCAATGGAAGAAGAGCTGACGGCTGAGATGTATTTAGGTGAACTAGGAACTTCTAGGTAGTACAGTCCATTGAGCAATCTAGCAGAACCACCCTGTCTCATCTGCTTCAGATCCTGTATAAGACAAAGGTTAGAATGGAATGTCAAGCTCGGTGAGTTTTTTTGTTGTCAGTTTGCTCACTGAAATCATATTGAAGGTAAAATTGGGAACATATAAAACATTCTGCAGAACCATATTCTCATTCAAGGATGTGGTGCCACTATGAGTTGCTTGAATCTGCACTCCAGTTGGTAATGTTATAAAAACATCCTTGAGTGTCTGATAGTTCTCAAGGTAATCAAGTGAACACACAATGTGATCAGATGCTCCTGTATCAAGGATCCATCTATCCTTTCTATGTGAAATGGAATTCATAACTGGTAGAGTAAAAAGACACTGAGAAATGTTACCTTTGTTAGTGACAAAGGTTGCTGCAGCATGAGAGGATTGAACCTTTTGAGACACCATCAAACTCATGAGTTTCTCATATTCAGACCTGGTGAGTTTGATATTTTCTTCCTGCTGTGGAATTGCTGCAGAGTTGACATAACCTCTACCTCTTCCATAGCCGCTGTTGGGATTTCTCGAAACAAAATCTAGTGGGAAACCATTCTTCTTGAAACATTTTCCCTCTGTGTGTCCATGTTTCTTTCAGAATGTACACTCTATCACTCTGCCAGGAATTGAAGCCTTTGGTCTAGACCCAAAACCAGGTGGACATACATGCTTCTGGTAGCAAGTATCCTCTGTGTGTCCTTCTTTCTTGCAAAAGGTACAGAAATGCCTTTTTCTAGACATATTAGGCCTTCTGTTGTTGCCTTGCACAACAAGTGCTATGATTTCTGAGTTCACAGAGGCCACCATCTAACTCCACAGACGGCTAGATCCAGCTTAAGATCATGACGTTGTTTCTGATCCAAGCTCCATACTTTGGATCCGTCTCTGCAGGCTGGGGTATAGTGCCATTGATGAAGCCTAGCTTGTTCTTTGTTGCCAAAGAATTGGACATAGCTCTACTCTAGTCGTTGTAGTTGGTAGTATTGAGTTTTTCTGCAACCAAAATTGAACCTCGATGCTCTGAACCATGAAGGAAGTAAGGATCTTCCATCTGATAAATGATCTGTTGAGCTTGGTGCTTTTCATTTTGCGGTTGAGGCTGTGGATTTGCAGCGTTGTTGTCTGCCATTGCGGGCGGCGGCTAGAGTTTGAGCACAAGCTCTAATACCATAACAACAAGTTTGGTATGGAAATCCTAAATCGTGATTCTCTTTCATTGATCTCCAGCCTTTATAGGCAGAACAAGGGAAGAAGACAAACCAGCTCGTTACAGTTTGTTTGATAGCTTGGTGAGGGAACAAAGTACTCTTGTGAAAAATGAAAGAACATAACGAGAAACAATGGAACGATGACGTTTAGCACAAAAGAAGGAAACAAGTGAAAAATGCAACGTTTTGTTCTGTAGGAGCAGCTTCGCCTTGAGAGAAAACGACGTCGGTGGGATCTTCTTCTTCCTCTTCAATAAGATAGCCGTTGGAATTGAAATTGGGGATTTCAATTTGTATTTCCTGTTACCTCTCCCATAGAGAAAATGGATTGCTTGCTTCAGAACTTCTTTTAGTCCGGATTGATGCAAAAGAAGACCATTAATTAGAGAAACAACAAGATCATTTGTTACTCAAAGGAGAATGAGGGCTTGAGTTCCACATCTCCAAGGACTTCAATCTTGGTCTCCTAGCTAAGAAAGCATAACACCTTATTTTAGAATCTAGACACCTTATGGGATAGGCTGCTCTAGGGCCACTACTTTCATCAAGATGATTTCCTCTCCACTTGTAAAGGTAGTCGCCCTCTTGGATTTGGGCTACCCTTTGTGAGGCTGAAAATGTTCTTGATCTAGGCACTGTCAGATTCATTGGCTCAGGAGAGGCTGTTTTACTTCTAGAGGAACCATATATTCCCTAAGTGGTTAGAGCTCGAGTCGATCGAATTCCAATCCTCATTCAAAATCTTTGAATGGGATCAACCACGTTTATAGAGAGTGGGATATTGGGGTGTTCGCTTATCTTATTTCTAGCTCTGAATTAGATGTCATTTGATGAATCCCGATTGGAGCTAGAGTCTTGTAGGTGTGGAGTTTTACCGAGCTGGGTAAGTTCACTACGAAGTCAGCATTCCACGCTTACCATGACTGAAAGGTATTCATCTACCTCTTCTTTTCATTGTTTTGCTCCCAAAACCACTTATAGGTCCGCATCATCCTTCAGGTTGTCTTGCTCTTCTAGAATAGTTGTAAAGCACGAAAGAAACTCATAATCAGGAAGCGAGTTTCTTCTCCATTTGTCAACTATGTGGCAAGCTCCCCAGAGCTTATGCAATGGACAACATGCCCTACTATTCCAACTGCTCCCTCCTTCTCGTCAGGTCGGCCCAGGGATCCTCATCTCTTTCCATGTCCTCCACCAACAATCTCCAAATAGATATTCACTGTGATGAATCATTCTTAAATGATTCATAGGAGGTGGCTTACCATGTCATGGTCATTAACAAAAAAAAAAAAAGGTTTTCGTGGATGTGTTGGTTATCTCTTTGTTTCTTTTCGATTAAAGCAAAAACAAGGCTCTTCGAGAAGGCATCAAATTAGCAAAAGTTGTAGTTTCAAAATGTTTACTTCACTCATATTATTAGATTATGGTTTTGACTCATAAAGATATCTCGTGAGCTTGTTTATTGGCATCCTTCGTACCTCTAATGACATCAAGATGGTGAAGTTTTCCCACGTCGGCTTAACACGAGAGCTCATTGAGTCACCAGGCCGTCTCAAGGTAGAGCTTCTCCCCTATCGAATTTGATCGATATCCTTGATCTTTTGTCACCTATCCCGTAATTGCAAAAAAATTTATATACTTTAAATCGATTATAGAATGAAAATCCACTTTCATTAATTAAAAAGACCATAATGATTGGGATGACAATGACATAAACCAACTAAATTATACAATAGTTGGTTGATTCAAGACACATCCTTCCACTTAAAGGCTAATTATATGTTCAATGGTCGAGTCATTCATGATGAGTCCAATTAAGAGCAACACGAGTAAGAACATAATCCACACCTTTACAAGAAACATCATCAAGTTTTCACTACCGAACAAACCCTCTCCATTTTTTTTTTGTGTGTTTTACTTTGTAAGCAACCAAACCCTTGAATCACTCTAGATTGAAGCTCCAAACAACTTTTTATAGTCATGATTTAAAAAATCAAAATGAAACCTTCTGTCGGCATGTAAAAGTTGCATTGGGGAATATTTGAATTTGGTTTTTTCCACTAGTAAGTGCTGGTAATGGTGTTACATCACGGGCCCGTTTGGGGTAAGTTTTATGGAATTAGCGTCACAAAGCTAACGTAATACCAAGTAATAATGGTAATAAACCAACTCTTGGTTGTTAAAAAAATTCCTTTGACGGGTCTACTTTATCATGCTTGACTCTTGAAAATAAATTCTGCATGTTATCGAAATAGGAGGCATGAGAAACGTTAGTTTTTCAGTCCAATTCCATTAAACTTTGATTATATGATTGATGAGAGTGCGATATGGACGACAAGGTGATAAAAAGTATTTTTTTGGTGATTTACACAAGTTGTCACTAAAATTATCTACTTTATAATGTTTTTCTCTTGAAAACAAATAATGATTTGTACTATTATTGAAGTAGGAGACATGTGAAATGATAGTTTTTCGGTTCAATTACGCCAAATTTTGTGTATATGATGGATGAGAGTGTGATATGGACGTCAAGAGGATAAATAAGTTTTTTTTGGTGATTTACCCAAGTTGTCCTTGAAATTGTATACTTTATCATGTTTGTTGCTTGGAAACAAATAATGATTTGTACTATTATAGAAATAAGACACATGAAAAATGTTAGTTTTTTTTTTTGTCGGATTCAGTCGAATTTTGCTTAGGTGAGAGATGAGAGTGTGATATGAACGCCAAGATGTTTATTACCAACTTGCCATGGCATCTATATGTACCCTGCTGACATGGTAAGTTTCAATATTGGCTATTGAATTGCTTGTTAATTTAGTATTTGTTTGGTACACCACGTGAAGTTTCATATCTACCACCAAAACATAGTTATAGGCTTTTATGTTTAGGATTTAAATATGATTGCAAGTTCTAACTTGTCATTGACAAATCAAATAATTTTCAGAAAAATATCGAATCAAAACTTATTAAAGTACATTTAAGGAGTAAGTTAACTGGTCTCTTGACTTCAAATAACCCTCAAAGCTGTTCATTTATATTATTATTATTATTATTATTATTATTATTATTATTATTATTATTATTAATAAAAAGGGAGCCACGTTAGGCTTAAAAATTTTATGTCTAGGTGAACAAAAATTGCATACTGGCTGGCATTTTGTGGTCGTACTGTGAGATATCGATTAATTTTGATCCGATCAGGTCAGTGCGAAATATATTGTAAAATAGAAATTTTTGGAGAAAATGACATAATTTCACTTTATTAAAGAAATTGGAGAAAAGTCTCAAAGTTTGACGAAAAACTAAAACTTAATCGCGTCGTTGCCCTCTAGGATCTAACCCCCTCCATTCTCCTTTCGCTTTGTCTCCCATAATCTCCCATGATTTCCATCAGTCTCCACCTCTCGCAAATGGATTCACCCCATCTCTTCTTGGCGTCTATGACACTCCATGTAGAGGAGATTATCGTCAAGGACGTAGCTTGGAATTTGTTGAGGGTGGGTCCATTTTTAAAAAAATAGTTTTTTAGCTTTTTAAATTTTTTTATGATATAATTTTGTATTTACAAAAATGTGGTAAATTTAATATATGTCGAAACTATGAAAAATATCACTCTATATGAAACCAACTTTATGTGCTTAAAGTTTTCGCAAATTCGAATATCATTTGCTTAACAAATGGGGTCGTCAAGATTCGAACACATGGCCCATCATAAAAAAAAAGATTCGAACACATGATCCTCGGTCAACCATTCTTAATTAGAAGTGTCCTAAATTTTATTCCCAATTAACTACTACACTAATTTACTCATTTTCGTCATTATGAGCCACCCGTTGCACTCTCCCTACCCCTGATTGAAATAAAATTATTTTAAAAATTAGTTATGATTGGTGAAAATTTATTGTAGATATTGAAGAAGTACATCTTTGATTGTAGGCGGATCATATGCACAATTGTCATTTGTACATAGCTTGTTATAACAACATTGAATATGTCAATACACGGCTTATAAATCATATATCAAATACATAAGAGGTCAATCATTCTGATTTAAATACATGTTATTTTTTATACCTGATTTATACCTAATTTATCATTTGTCCTCCTGAGCCAGTACCCACCCTCTAACCTTCTCCCTCCACCCCTGATTCTCGCCATGTCACCATCTCAGTCTCATAGCTCTGAGCAAGGGAGATTCTCGTTGTCGGCCACCCTTGCGCTTTAGTCTCCTCCTCTCTTGCTTTATCCACCTCCAGTCCTCTCTCAATTTCGGATTAGGTAGTGAATTTTCTGTCGGTATATTCCGATATTACTTTGGTATGAACTTGATTCTGCTGGTATATTCTGGTATTACTTTGATGTAGTATATACTTTTGTCGGTATAGTATTTGATAAATTTATAGATATGAACGGTTGGATCATACCATAAAATGTCATTTAACAAATTTGTCTAATATGACTTCTGATACAATCTTTGTCATCCTTGATCTTGAAGGAGTAGATAGAAAGGGTCTAATGAGGGGTGTACAATTAAATAAAGAGAACATGATTTTTTGATTGATATTTAATGTGAATCATTATGAACCAATGAAATAATTAATTTGTAATGGATGAATCCATGATGCATCCGTCTTCTGGGTGTCTGGAAGGGAGTGTTTGGTAATTGCATGAAGATCACATGTTTTGTACATATGAAGTTTTGGAGGATTCTCTATCACCTTTTCCACCACACAAACAACCCATTAAACTATTACAAAAATGTGACCCACAAATCACGCATGGAACAGCTCAATGGAGATTTGGTTCCCTCTTCCCACCCTCCCTCGATTGCCTTGCCTTGCCAGCCCAATTAGTTCCATTAACCACTCATTTTTGTAAGTTGGGTTCATACAAAATCCTCCCTTCACTTTTCACTTAATCTCCCCCAATAATTCTGTTGAAAACCCTTTCGAGATTTTGATTCACTGGTTTTTTTTTTTTATCATAAGGCTGTCATATTAGTGATGTGACCAAGCATGTTAAACATTTAAGAACCATAACTATGTGCGGAGGATCGAATATGAAGCTCGAGTGTACTAAAACGTGATAGACAAACAAAAGAGGTTAATGTCTCACCAATTTTTTGGTGTGGCGAGATGGGAGTAGAAATTGATTAAGTATGAAAGAGCCACCCTCAGTTGATGAGAGAGGTCATCAACATACTCTCTGCTATGACGATCTCTTAGTATTCAGATCTTTTAATTTGGTTCAAGTGTTGAATACCACCTTGATGTGATGAGAAATGTGATTGGTATACTCCTAGGTTGACGAGGGTGGAGGAGGTCAAGAGGTTTAGGGGTCACCCTTCCCGCTTCCACGATCATAAGTGACATTTTGACAACAAATTAAATGATGATCCGAGCAGCCATTCACATGTGACAAGGGATTTTCATATCTTGGCCTGATTTTCTCAACCGACAAGCAAAGCTAATGAGGAGCTATTAAGTGGAGGGAACCAAGAGTGAAGAAGTGTGAATCTTGTTAAGTTATAGTTTGGTAAGAAGTCAAAAGTGCATTTTAATTCTGTTCAAACCAAATTTGCTTGCCGGAAAACAATGCGATTTACATATTCAGTATATAAAGCATTAAACAAATGAGAGAAAAATGACACGACTCGACAATAATACGAGAACATGAGTTATAAACGTATCTCATATGTATATAAATACTAAACGAATATTTAATGAAGTTTTGCTGATTATGGTATTATTTTTTTCGGTAATTGATTATGGTATATTTGCTCCAAGATATATTGCTATTGCGTGTGAAACCCTAAATATTTATGAGTACGAAATACATAACCAAAACAATGGTGTATCTCCAGAGAATTTATTTGTTTCGAACATGTCTCTCCCAAGAATATTTTCCCCACGAAGCAAGCAAGAGAAGATTTCTTCAAACCTATAGATTCTCTTCTTAACACTGGATTTGCCGCCTCGTGATGTTATTAATTATTATTTTATTAATTAACGTGTCTTTTTTCCATTATTACTATGGTGATTACTGATTAATTCAGGTTTTATTTTCTCCTCTTACTTTAATTATTGTTTCCTTACGCTCGTTTTGACAGCTGGGGATAGATCTGTTACTTGTTCAATTTGACCATGTAAATTATTAGCAAGATAATGAGTTAAGTTTGGACCACAAGTCAAACTTGCTTTGTTAACTTTTACCTAACAAATATGGTTACCAAAGTAGTAAAACATAACACTCTTTTGTTTCCTATGGTGCTTTTTCTAAGGATTGAAAAGGTTCGACCAAAAACCCCGTATCATAAGTGAAACTAGTAGTAGGTATTTAATGGTATAAAGCGGTTGAACCACGATTAAACCACAATTTTAACATAAAAAATATTATTATCGTTGACTTTTCCAGTACACCCTTCGGTTTTTTCGATACTTGATTTTTTCTACAAAACGTGTATTTAACATTATTAACTGCATGTTGATTTATTAGAATAACAGTCACTACATACGATTCACATGACCTCTTTGTCACATTCATCTTATATTTATATCTAGAAGAAGTAATTACTTTGAGAAATTGTTCGACTGTCGAACAAGAGTTTGATCAAGTGGTAATATTACTAGTCTTGAATTTGGAGGCCTCATGTTTGAATTCCTTAAGTAGCACCTAAACCACAAAAAATAAAACCTATATCACTCTTGTAAAAAATTGTTCGACTAACATGGTGTGACGGTTATTCTCTCAAATGTGTTGATGATGGTCAACTGTTCACTAAGGCATGATGGTCTTCCCACCACTGTATTCTATCAATGTTGTACAAGGGTTATTATTTTGTGTACATATAATAATTTTGTTAATTTGGTTATGCTAGGAGAAAAATTATTGATGGCTCTTTAAACGTAAGTAAATAATAGTAATAATAATAATAACATGAATTTTCAAAAAGTACTTTTTCAGTATTATTGAGGTAATCATGTAACAAACACAAAAACGTAAGATTTTACTATGTCATTCATAAAAGATAACCAATATCTTGTCCAGATCTAATATATATTTGCTCATGATCTCATAGATACTACTATTACTATACCTTGTTCAATAAAATCTACTACCTTTATATCATAGAAATCCAGTATTATATATGTCTTATCAACCAAGCAAAATTTATGACTTAATATAATCAGGCTCGACATTCTCTCTGCCAACAATTTGGTGAAGATAATCGGTTTAAATTCCAAGAATTATTCAAATTAGTGAGAGCCAAAATCTTATGCATATTTTATATATAAAAAAATCTTATGCATATCAGTTAAGTAGTTATATGCATCAAAATAACCTAATTGCATTACCCTAACCATGCTATAGTACTAACACTGTCATATCGGATCACGCTTTTCACGACTCCACGATTGTTAGATGGTTTCCACGATCCACAATCGTTAAATTACGTGAGGACGTAGTTACCATAATCAATCTATGTCATGACCTTGGATATTGAATTGATATAACCTAGCTAGTAGTTTGTCTCCTTTCCAAAAGTAACATAAACCAAACATTGTGAAATTGCACTGAAGGTTATACAAAAAAAATCAGTGATAGGTATTTTGTACTAAAATTGTATTTCAATCGTTTCATAATATTAAAATCGCCTATCATTTTAAATCCAATACCCAGTATTTCCAACTTGACCAAACAATATAGTGCAGTTTCTAAAACATTAACAGATTGATATTATTATGAAGTAAAACCGCTGTATTGCTTTATTAGTCAAGACTTCCCATTTTGTTGCAAGATCTAAACATATTTGCTGGCCAATGGGGTCAAATTAAACAGTTTATATATATACTATAAAGTTTTTAACTTTTTTAAGATACTATTTTTACTGCTAGTTCTTTTGATTTCTCATTTTTGTGAAGGAAAAAGGTAAACATGCATGCATCTCGCCGCCTACGTGTATTAACAATTAACAAAGAGCACCACCCTAAAACCCTCGAAAAAAGCAATTGGGAGAGAATAAACAATTAACTTGCGAGATACGAAAAAGAAGAAAAGGGGAAAACTTTACCAAAAAAGGGGAATATTATAACGCAAGAAATCAAAGACAATCGCTTTCAAGTCATAGTCCACACACACAACTAAATTACTGAATTAGTCTTCTACATATACGAAGCTAGGGAGAGAAAGGGAGACAATAATTTGCATCAATTTATAAACAATTCAATCTGTTTTTATTGGAACCAATAAACTATTCACTTTCACATTGCAATGTTTATCTACTTCACCATTAGAATTTTAGTTATTACCATTGTGGCAGAACATCTATGCAACGATGAAATACTCGTCTTTGTCAACGCGACCAGATAATAAAGATGTCTATCTTATATAGGAATACACCGTTATGTTCAAATTTGATTTTCATTGTTGTAAGGAATACCAGTTTTTTCTATGGTTGTTGATCTATATGACATACTCCATTGTAACAGGGCAGGTAAAGATAAAGATGTCTATGTTAAAATTTAAATAGAAATCCATCATTGCATTCTAATCTCATTTTCACTATCGTGAAAAAACATCATTTATAATGAGCTTCAACTATAGCTTGATTTCACTACCAATCATGATGATTTGGATTTTTTTCCGTTCACCATTGGTCTCAAGGTAAAAAAACCTAGAATGTAGTGAATGTTTATCATCAGAATTTAACATAATAATTATTTTTTTAAAAATTGCCTTAATCTCAAGGAGCTAGGATGTGACCTCATCATTAAGAAGGAAAAAAAGAAAATACAGAATAGAAATGTAGATATAAAGGGAAGAAGCGGAGGAAGGAGGGATAAAATCTAGGAAAATATAAAAAATACAGATGGTGTGTATATCTAATGAATCTCTGCACAATCTGATCCAGCGATGCAATAATTACCATCTTAGCAAGAGAGAGAGAGAAGTAGAGGAAGCAAGAACAGCTTAAAAGGAGGGAGTGGTTGTTCTCTTTGGGTGAGAGAAAGAAAGAAAGAAAGAAAGAAAGATCCCCCAGATTTTCCCTGATCATCAACAATCCTCCCTTCCCTTAAAGCTAGCTGCTTTCCATATCACCAGAGTAAACCCTTGTAGGATTTTCTGAGTAAAGAGAGAAGGAAGCTTGATTCAAGGCAGTGTATAGAGAGAGAGAAAGTTGACAGTCAAAGTTTGGAGAAATGGGCAGTGGTTACTTTGGAGAGCCAAACATGGGGAATGATCACCATCATCATCATCAGCAGCAGCATGAAAGGGGAGGAAGTGGGTCATCTTCAAGAAAGGGGAAGAAGAACAGTTCATCATCAGAGAATAATAAGCAGCCTAAGCAGCCACAAAGAGGGCTTGGTGTTGCTCAGTTGGAGAAGATCAGGTTAACTGGTCAACTGGGCTGCACCAGCAACAACAACAACAACAACAGCAACTTTCATCATCACCCTTCTTTCCATACTCCATACCACCTCCAGGTACATATCAACATATATACTTGTTTGCCCAAATCCGCCATGGCTATATGGAGCCTTGCTGAATATTGATTGTGGTTTTGCTTTGCAGGAGGATATTAGAGGAGGGCATACCGGTTATGGCTCATCGATACCATCTTCTTCCTTCTCATACTCTTCCTCATCGTCTCTGCCTTCTTATGCCTACAACCCCAACATCATGGTAATTACTCAATTAGATTCATTTATATATGCTACTTAATTACTATGCTTAATTATGATAGTGGTAGTTCAAGTTTTGATTTACGGTGGGAGGAGTTACGGTGCTAATTGTACAAGAGTTAGCACCGTACTAATCAAGGGAAAACTACTATTACTTTGAACTAGTAGTGATTTAGCTTATATGTTGTATTGATTTTATAATAATCCATAGTGATTTCGTTGTTTTTAGTAGCGTTTTTTACTAGTTATCACGGTGCTAACCCCTATAAGAGTTAGCACCTAATCTCATCCCATTTACGGTGAATTGAAGAAAATATTACAAAGTGGTAGCTAGCTAGCTATGATTGGAGAGCTAGATCAGTTTCTCTTCTTCACAATTTAGGTTCAATTGTGGGAAGATTATGTTATATATATTCTTATTTTCATTTCCTTCTCAATCTAAATCTTGACTTCGCTGCTGGGGAGCAAGTCATTTGGTGGTTTGTGACCTTGTGAAGAACTTAAGAATCTTCCAAATTTGATATATATATATATATGCTGCAACTCCTCCTTTGTTTTTGTTTTTGTTTTTGTTTTTTGTTTAATTATTACTGAATTAATCCTTGAGTAGTTTAATACAATACTTTTCTCGCTCTTAAATAGAAGCTTCTCTTCCTTTTTTTCTGAGCTGTTAATAATTTTTGCAGATGGGAGTTGGAGATTATGAGAGGACCAACAATATCGGATATGGCGTTGATTCACAACCTTCCACGATTCCAAGGTACATGCAACGTTACTTAATTAGTTGATCTCTTCATTTTTGGTTCTAAGCTATTTAATTTTCCAACTGTAAAACACCTCCTCCATCCATCTCAAATAACCATATGTATTTGTTGTTTCCTCAGTTGGAATCTGGGCAGCTACGAGTCTCATCATCAGCATTCCTTGCAGCCAGGCGCAGCGAGACACCTTTTCAATCTACACGAGGTGCGTACCTACTCGCGGTTTCATTTATAGTTTTTTCGTTACAACGTATTAATACGATGCTAGATCGATTGGTTTTGAACGAAAGGTAGTGCATTCGCGATCCAGCTGATAGAAAAGGAACAACTCTTTTTTTTTTTTTTCAGTCTAATGTACACATTGTTAGCTGGCCAACCAAATTCGACTAGCTAACCCTGAATATAAGTTATTAGAAGCTAAGCTAGCTAGCATGCAAAGAACATTATGAAATTTGCAGCACTAGACCGAAGAAGCTAATATTATGATGTGAAATCTTTTTGCAGACAACGTCAAGGAGCAAGAAGCACAGGAGTGATTCGATCGGGTCGAGCAGCCAGAACTCTGAATCAAGTGATAGTCAAGAACTCGACTTGGAGCTCAGGTTGTCGCTGTGACAGATCAAAGTATTGTATGTCTTGTTCATCTTCTTTACAAATCTGGAAGCTGTGGGGGGAAAGCAACAAGCTTTTTATGCTACTTATAAGGCATCAAAACCATTGATTTGATGGAGGGGGGAAACAAGAAAGAATATTATTCTAGTTTTTTCTTGGTCTTGTTGGTGAATTGTCATTTGGCCCACAGAAAATTGAATGAGAAGAAATCATATCATATCATATCATGCACCCTTTATATATATGTGGACCATCGATCGATCGTTATAGATTGTGCTTAGATTTTTGTCTCTTCATGTGTAGCTAAGTTCAGGAGACATGTAGCATCAAATCTAGCCACGAAAAAAGCAAAGTGCTGTGTTTTTGCTTTTTCCCATGGGTGAACTGGTTCTGATTCACTAATTTAGGTTATAGTTGCTAGGTTCAGTTCATTTCTCACGAACAGTAATCACTGCTTTTCTCAAAAGGGTGATCGAGTTCTTCAGGAATAAACACATATATTCCAAGGTGCAGCTACAAAGTTCAGGGATCGTTCATTTTCATGAGTTCTTTCCGTTTGAGCCAAAGCATGGTCTTTCAATACAATAATACAATTTTGGTACGATTTTACAATACTTAAAGAATAAACATGACGAGAATGCAAGTTCAGTGGTGTTAGAGATGACCCTTGGATTCATTTCAAGTACTCCGATTTCCATGATGGGTAATAACAAGGGAAAGAGGGATAGCTAGCCCCACTTAATGTGTTATTATTAGTCGGCAAAACTATGGAGCGAATGAACTCAAAAGCTTTCTCCAATCAAATTATATGTACACGAGGGCTGAAATTCAAGGATTATGAAATCGTATGAGGAAAAAATTAGTGTATTTTGTGTCGAAATCATGATTTAATCGTGATTCAACTGTTTTATACCTTTAAAATCCTCTTAGCGGTTTAGCTTCTGGTAAAAAAAAATTATCGGACAGTTGGTTATCATCACATTCACAAACATTGCATTAAAACAGTACTGTTTAATTTAAATTCAATTGTCAGCCAAAGGAAATATAAGAAATCGAAACAGGAATATGATAGACAAATGATGTGCCTATACCATGATTCATAAAACACTCTCCTACATGATGGTGCAGTTTAAACAAGTCTTTAGCTAGCATGAAACATAATGCAAATGGGTATTTTCTTTTCTACTTTTTCATATAAGTAGAACAAGAAGCTTATGCTTGGAAACCCTTTCATGCTTTCAAACCAGGTCTCTCCATTCAAACAATGAAGCTCAGTGGCAGAGCGAGAAGACTTAATGAGACAAGTTAAAAATGTACGCCCAGAGAATTTGAACTAGCAAGGAAGGGTAAATGCTTACCAATGATTGTATGTTCTAAATTTATACAAAATTTACATGTTTTTAAGAGTTGATGGGCTGTAGCCTCCCTAAAATCACTGATTGAGCTAGACAGGAATTTGAGTGTAAATTGTGTAGAAGTTAGACGCACGATGTTTTATCCAAAACATATTGAAGTAGAGCAAACTTTATATGTGCATGTACGAATAGAGCACTTCTACTATGCTATATAGTATTGGTGTTTTAATGTACAACTCAAAATTGTACCATAACATTAAATGTATAAGTTTAGGTTGTACCATAAAGCAATTTGTACCATTATGTTATGGTACAACTTTACAACTTGAAGTTGTACTATCACATAAAGGTACAAGTTCAAGTTGTACTATAAAAGAATTTGTACAAAAAGTATAGGTACAATCTGAAGTTGTACCATAACGTAAATGTACGATTTTAAGTTGTACCATACAGACAAAAACCTATAGCACCAATACTATATAGCATTGTAAAATTTCTCGTACGAAGAACCAAGAGTTTGTGATGTAAAAATATGTTTCCTTTATGAACTTCAATTAATGTGTTGTTTGTTTGTGGGATTTGGGTGATGTATTTGTCACCCAAATACAAAGCATTATGTATTTGATAAAAAAATTGTTTGTTGAGGTATACAAATCCGTGGGTCATGAATTTGGATCTTTTTTTAGCTCCAAACCCATGGACCCACGTATTTGCAAATACCACATTTCATTTGGTCATGGAAGGCAAGGATTTGAGACCCAAGGTACAAAAATCTTTAAATTCATGATCAAAATCAACTAAATATACAATATTATATTTTCAAATACAAAATGGAACAAACCCATCATAAATTCAAAGGTTTTCAAAACTAAAAACCTTCATTTTCAAACCCAACAAGTAGATGAGTCATAATGTGGACAGGCAGAGCTAGCATGAAAGAAGTGGTTCCATGACACCTTGATTTGGACTTTCAACAAGAAATATAGATATAATTGTAAATGAAACCCATTTAGAATAGAAATAAGGACTCTGTTGCACCCTGAATTAGTTGCTTGAGAGAAAAAATGTTAATATATTTATCGATATATAATAAACACTAATATTTCTTATTAAAAAATTCACTAGAGACTAATCAATCTAAAATTAACACTCATACAACGAAATTCTAATTTTTCCGCCTTTTATCTTGACTAAAAGAATTCTCATGATTTGAAGTCGAATAAATGATAATATTACAAATTTTTTATATTGTACATTACAAATGAAATTCTAGTTAATTAACCTTTTTAAAAAAAATATGAAAATGTATTAAATTCTAACGATGCCACTGCAAAATTCTTTTAAGTTATATGGTGTGTAATTTAGAGAACTGGGCCGGTCAAAAAATGGTGGTCCAGATTGGACAGCCCGACAGGCTATCCGAGCCTGAGTGTCACTGGCCTGTTATCCCTCCACTGCCTGGAGAGGGGAGCCACGCTGCTCTGTGAAACCAGCCTGACGTATTATCTCCCAACTCTAGGAACCAGGTCGGCTCAAGTCTTCACCAAGCCTTCCCGGCCCAACTCCAAGCTTGGAGCGGGCAGGCCAGATACTGACATAACCAAGCCCAGCCTTTCGAGAACGGCCCAATGTCCCACCATTTTAGTGCCTCCACATGGATGACAAGCCCTTGTTAGTGAGCTCGGCGGTGATGTCTGCTTCACATGCATATTTAAAATGCCTTATAACTACTGTTTCAGCGATGTGGTAGCTATTCTCACTTCATAGAGTATTAAAGTTGAATCTCCCTTATATTTGTCTTATAACCATTAACAGCAGCTACCAACAATGGCCATTTTTGCCTTAACACAAAGCTCGAAAATGATCCACCAAAAATCTTAAGCTCTTGCTCTGGCAGCTCACCTATTATTTGTGCAAGTAAAGTTGATGAACAACAAAGTAAGAGGCGGTTTTCCATCTAAGGTTGTGGACGCATATAGTTGTTGTAGTGTTTTTTTTTTTTTTCGTTGTTCTAAGTGACAATTTTACGGTAAGTCTTCAATAAAAGATTGAATTGTGAAACACCAATTTGAAATGAGCTCACGGAGATTGAAGAGCACAATAATTGAATTGATGGAACACAACAGTTTCTGAACAAGAATCTCCACGCTTTTGGGTTTGGAAATTTTTCGAAAATATCATTTTTATCTGTTCATCGTATTTGTAAATTAAGTTAATGAACAACAAAGTAAGAGATAGTTTTCCATCGTGTAAGATTGTGGAACCATATAGATGTTGTAATGTTCTTTTCGCTGTTGTTTTAAGTGGCAATTTTAGGGCTAGACTTGAGCAACTCAATCTCTTATGCTCCCTCTTGCAGTGAAAACAATCTAGCATAGTTAAAATTCTGCTGGTACTTAAATTCTAATCATAATTATTTTTATTTGCTTTTTTGGAGTGTTGAATAGATTTGTTAATCCTTATTCCTACTAAATAGGATACGAGATAGTAGCACTTTGGAACACATTTTCTTATCTTCTGGAAAGAAATTTCTAACTTATTATATATGGTTTTGAGAAACCCTATTGGGTAGAGGTGGAAATTGGGGTGGGTGTGGTTACCCGCCCCACATTTTGCGGTTAACCACACCCACAAATGTAGAAATATGTTATCCACAACCCGCCCCACAGTGGATAGTGGTTAACCACTACCCACTGCGGGTTGGTGCGGGTTGGATGTGAATACCCACAAAAGTTTCGTTCATTCGCCCTTCGAACTTGTATATGATAAACCTATCAATCGAGTGACGGCAAAAAACACACATTGCGTTAAAACTAAGTCAAAGAAGCCGAAGACATGGAATGAGTGAGGATTTGGTATTCACAACTTTCTACGTAGTCAACCTCCCTCTTCTCAGTTCACTTCACTCGCTTACAGGTCACTTCACTTCTTTAAGAAATGCAAATCTGTAACAAGTATGGGTTGGAGGAGATCTAATCTAAATATACATATTATCTTCATCAGTTGCATGACTCATTTGCTTTTTATTCCAGCTTTAGGGATAAATGAAATTCTCTCCCCGAGTTGAGGAATTAGCGTCTTCTTACATAAACATAAAAACCTACATAAAAGAAAGTTAATAAAGTGTTAAATAAATTATAAATCACATTTATTGACTTGGTTTTGTTACAAAATAAACACATACTATGCGGACAAATGCTTATTTAACAAAAGTATCTCATACGGACACTTGTATTGACTTGGTTTTGTTTTATAAAATAAGTACGTATTTGATTTTGGAGGCTACTTTAATTTGTAGCATTCTAGTTTTCACATACTTTAATATTACAAAGTATTATTAATAAATAAATATACTTGGTGTGGTTATTATGGGTTTGTGGGTTAACCGCTGTGGATAGTGGTTAACCACTAACCACAAAAAATAATATTTTGCTACCCACACCTAACCCAATATCCATAAATTGTGGGTATACTTACCCACAAAGAGTGCGGTTTGGTGCGGTTTGCGGATTACCGGCAATCCGCAAACCAAACTTCCACGCCTACTATTGAGGCACCAACCGGATTGGTCCAATCACAAACCGACCGTCGAGATAACTTGGTTTGTTTCGGTCGTAAATACAGCCAACAAATCAGTTAGTAACACCCCTAAAATTCCTCAGCCACTCCTCCGTAGCCTGTAGGAGTAGCTCCATTCGCGGCCGCCGCCGCATCTTCTCACCGTCACAGCCTCTACGCCTCCTCACCGTCGCCGTCGCCGTCGCGCCGCTACTTCGAAAAGACGAAGAGACTTGGACTTCCTCGTCTTTCTCTTGCGCTCTACTGAACACGTTCCAATAACAAAAATCAAAATGGCGGAAGCAGAGGGGAAGAAGAAGAGAGAGGAAACTGTCG